AGAATGGAAGATACAGTAACATCCAATGCTAATATGGCAATAGACTTAATTTCCATGAACAAACAATTAATTTTGAAGTGTCCAATGTTTACTTGAAGTAAAATGTTACAGACAAAGCATTTAATAAGAGGAAAGATGACCAGAACTGGTCCCATCAAAGCTAACTCAAATATAGATATCATTTCATTCGTCAATAATAACAATTATGTAATAATTCGGGCTATACCTGTGAGAAATTTACAATCACGGGGAGAATATGCGCAATGCAGTCTTGAGGTTCCAATAACTTTCCAAGAGTGGCACAACCCTCAACAGCAAGCAATCGAACAGAATCCTGATCTGAAAAAAGAAATCAAAAAATTCATTTTCTTCACAGCCGCACAATTTCCTAACAGACTTCCCCCACCTCATGTATTCACAGTATTTGATGTTTAACCATGAAAGCTTTTTTTAATCCATACATAAACTTAAAATTTTCAGTGGCTGTCTAAGAAAAGAGAGCCTGTTAAAATTTCATTATAAAATTCAGTAATTACCATCAACTTCTCTCAACATCTCCTTCAACGTCCTTTTACTCAAATTAACTACCTCAAGACTTCACCTGAAAATTAATCGTAACACTAGAACTGTTAAAAATTTCACAATACCATCTGCATGCAACTAAATCCCACTATTCATCTTGCGACAACTTTAAATTATTTACAATGTTAAGTAAATCATATCAACCACCACCAAGTATCAAGGAAGTCTACCATCAATCTTTTATTCTACATAACACTCATAAATAAATGCCATTATATGCAAAACTTAAATCATTTATTACCATCCTGGGTAAGTTCCTCGAACATGGACATGATTTCAGTTTTGAGATGTGCAGCTTCAACAGTGGCAGCAAATTTCCCCAAGTTTGTTGCTGCAGCCCTTCTTACCATGGGCATATCATCTTGACACAACTGATTATATATTGACCTTAATTCTGTCTTTAATGTATCTGGAGCACTTGAGTAAGTAATATGAAACAACCCACAGGCTGAGACTCTAGCAGTAAACCACTCGCCAGCTGCCAGCCTCTGTATATCAAATAAACCAACAAAAAACTAAACATGAGAACTAGAATTGACAAAGACTTCAGTATTGGAAATAAGTTTAAAATTTAAACCAACAAAGAGTAAACAATTCACATGCTGAATGTGAAATCAAGACCACGATCCAAAGCCCATATGCACCCTCATGGTTCAATTCAATATGGTGCTAGCTTAAAACAATTAGGAAACACTGTTTGATAAATGAAACAAATGGGAAAAACATGTCATGCACCATAAACTATTAAATATAAGGCCCCAGAACTTTCTACCTAGGACACAGAGGCCTTCTGTTTTTAGTAAATAAGGAAGACAGAATAAGCGAAAAACAGCACAGAGAATGGGACTTGAGAAAAACTGCAAAAACTAATAACATAAATAGATACAAACCATATCTAAAACAAAAAAAAAATCCTCAATGTGAAATTTTATGCTGTGTAATGTTAGAAAAGAATCCATTGAGAAGATTAATATACCATAAATGCTTTCCAGAAATCCCCACCAATCAACTTAAAGCATAACTACAAAAATCACCTTCCTCAATAGCACAAGAAAATACTAAAGAAACAGCAGATTACTATAATCTGACCTTCACGAGAGGAATAAACCAATAGGTAAGATCATTTTCCTTCATCTGTGACCCGATCCTGCACAAGGACTCCACAGCTTTTTCCCTCACACAAGTCTCCTCCACAGTGCAAAGGGTCTCCAGAGGAGGAAGCAAAACATCTGCATAGTCAACTCCTCCAACATAAGGAATGAACACGCCCAACTCTTCGGCCATAGCAAGTAGCACTTCATCATCATCATCATTGTTTTCGCTCAAGAACGGGATTAACTCCTTTCGAGTCCTCTCTTCTCCCAGTGCACGAGCTATGGTGGATAATCTACGTATGGAATTCAGTCGCAGTTGAATATCATCGTTCTTTAGCTCGTCTATCAATATTGCTATCGGGTACAGTGGCTCATCTGCCGCTGACATTGTGCCACAAAATCAAATTCTGCAAAAAAAAAAAAAAAAATGAAAATATTATTAGCTTATTCGATCTTTGGGGCATCATGAATTGTTCAAAAGCAGAAGAAAAGCAAGAACTTGATTGTTTAGCACAAAAACGAAGATAGATGACACGAGATCCGCCCTGCAATCTGGACCGAAAGGGGCAAAATAGATGAATTTTTAACCAACTGAATTTCAAACCCCTCATGTCAAGTACGTGGCAAATATTATCATCCAAATGGATGATATCGAAGCAGGAGCTTTTACAAATTTCAGCCGGGCTTAGAGCTTCTCCAACCGATACTCAAAACTTAAAAAATGCAGTATTTTTATTCCAACCGACACTCAACGCCAAACGCAAATTGCGTTTTCTCCTGTTTTCCGTCTGTACAAACGCAAATATGCGTTGTTCCTGTTCACGGACGCAAATATTTTAAGAAATTGCAATATCATCCCATCTGCCCATCATAGTGAATATTTGTGAGTTGAATTTATTTATTTCCTTTCTTGTTTGCACATACTTATGGCAATAATTATTCTTAATATATTATGGATATAAAATTTAACTTAATGTAAACAATTAATTATTGAGGCTAATTTATTTCTACGTGACTACAATAGGGATATAAAATTTAACTGAATGTAAATAATTAATTCTTGATGCTAATTATATATATATATATATATATTTAGTTGTATTGATGTATTTTATTTGTATGCAATGTAATAGTTAAATATTATTTTGTAGGGTAATTATAATCATGACTAGAATTTTGATATTAAAATGAAATATTAACACTAAAAAAGTACCAAGTATATTTATTTGTATCTCATTTTATTTTATTTTTCATCTCGCTCCTGCATTGTAATTTTCAACACTTTTAACGAATACTTGTTTCTTCAATTCTCTTATGTATATAACATTATAATTAATTTTATTACATAAACTGCTAATTAAATTTAAAATACTTATGTGGTTTAATTGGTAAAGTTGTAAAATATGTGGGTAGTATTAAAAATTTATAAAAGTTGGTGAAAAAAGAATATTCTGAGAATATTCTTTTGGGTTTGAGAATGAGTTATTCGGTTGGAGTTAAATTACTGTTTGACGTGACAGTTACTGCAAAATGAGTTTGGGAATGAGTTTTTCGGTTGGAGATGGTCTTAACAAGACAAATTGAGGAAAACCTACGAGTGTCCAATTTTTCTCAAGAAAAAAGCAAAAGCAAGGGTTCCATCATAGCCATTCGGAATAGAATTGAGAAAATTGAGGAGAGTCATGCACAGAAAAAAAGATTAAAGAGAGTTACCGGAAGCGATAAGTTCTCGCCGGCTTTCCTCAGATTCAGAGAGGAAGTCGAAATGTATGTTTTAGGAATTTTTCATATTAAAGATGCAGCGCTATGTTGTTTTTTTTTTTTTAAGTTCATTTATTTCAGGTTATTTTTAATTTAACACTCAATTTTTTATTTAACTTGTTAATGTGAGAGCTAACTAATTTTACTTTTTCGCATAAATATGTGAATCAAATATTTATTTATAATCTATATTTCACATATTTATGATAAAGAAAAAAATTAATTATAAATATATTAACTATATTTAACAATTAACTTAAGTGGAAAATTAATACATATATGTTATATTTATGCAAAAATCTAGTAAGTTTTATTTTAAAACAATTATTAAGAGAATTAAAAATTATATAATTTAAATATATTTTTATTAATAATTTAAAGTGGTAAGGATGGCGGAACAACGATGCTCACCAGCATAATTAACATCCACCCGAGGCGAGAAGACGCCAGACATTAAGGGAGGCACTAGCTAACCCCATCTGTGGGTTGCCCTAGGAACCCTCGTTAGCAAAGCTACCATAAAAAGCCGCATCGAGGATTTCCCGAGAGAAAGGGTGCCCTCGAGCTCGACCAACAAATTTTCCTTCGATCTTAGCCTGTGTCTGGCGAATATGCTATGTCATCCTCTCCACTGCTCGATCCTTGTGCACACCAGGATCCCTACTGTTCGTCTTGTCCATATATGTGTCATGTCTTCTCGTCCCCACCACTGTGGTCGACGTTGTGGTTGCTTGAGACCTCTGGTGAGTGGCCTGCTGGGATGCTCCAGATGCAACGGCATTGTCTATCATCCTCTTGAGCTCTTCCCTCGACATCGTGACGAGTTGGCGCTCTCTTCGCTCAGTCTCGATCCTGGATGGCCCATCACCTAGACCATAGCTCGCTCTAGCTGTGTTTGGCCAGATCTGTGACCTCCATGGTTGCTCTGGCCTCCGTCGGGTTGCTCGGCCCTACCATTGCGTTCGGGACCGTCTGGAAAGGCGCGATGATAATTGCCCTCTATTCGTCATAGGATTCCTCATAGTCCACAGTCGATCTCTATGAGCGCCCTGAGCACGTAGGATGAGGCGTCGAGGTCACCGGGGTCTGAAGCGGTCTGGAGAAGCCTAATGGTAGGTCTACTCTGAACGGAAACGTATTCGGCCATGTATCACCAAAAGTTTGCTCTAAGTTTTTCCTGGGAGTCTCGCTCGCCATTGATAAAAAAACCTTCGATGGTTTTTAAACAGATTCCCACAGACGACGCTAAATGGTACGAAAAGACCCTTGACCAGATTGGATTCGGCCTGATCTGAGCTCCTTGCCGGTAGATCGACTTTTAGATCTGCAAAACCTCCACACCGCAGGGATATTTCAGTGAAGAGCCACTTATGCTTAAGTTAGCACAGTGAAGAAGAAGATGTTGTGTTGTATGTAAGTATGTAGAGAGTATATATAATATAATGTTCTAGAGGGTATACCTCACTCCCTTTTATAGGGAGTGATACCTTGTTGCCCAAGAATGCCCAATTGAGTTGTCTGGTCTGCCCAAGTTGCTCGTTCGTACTGCCTGAAGTGCCCAATTCTATTAGGCCACGTGGCCCTATCCATGTAGGGTCCTTATCCTATTCATATTTCTTATTTATCAGTTAGTTTGTCTAATCTATTTGTTTAAAATTTAGGAGTATCATTTTCAAACATAAATATTTTGGTATTATGGTGCACAAAATAGAGATTCCTAGTTATACATATGTATTAATGGAAAGAATGTTTTGTGAAGGAGCAGGATTATTCTTATCACTTCATTTGGACAGTACAAACTCCAAAGCCCATTGATTTCACTCGGGCTTCGCAACATGGGCCGGCCCATTCAATCTCCCCAATCCTCTGAATTATCATCTACCTTATCTACGGAAAAACACTTGGTGCAGCACCATATATCCTTTTTTTTTTTTTTTTTTTTCTCACCGCACACAATCAAACACAGAAGAAAGAAGATGTTAGCCATGTCAGTTCAACCAAGCATCAAGACCACCTCGCCATACCCCTTTTCCAACGTTCCCAAGCAAATCTATTGTTCGAACTTCAAATCCGTAGCTTTTCCGAAACAGAAGCCTTTTGATTTGGGTACATTATCCAATCCCGACCTCAAATCCAAACACGCGATTGGAAGAATTCGGAAAAAGCAGTCTGCGTCGGCCGCCGCGGAATTAGCTCCACTGGAAACAACTTCAGAAAATTCCGACACTGAACTTGCCGAGGAACCTCAGGTTTGGTCAGAACGATTTTTCTAATTTTGAAATTTGCAGTTTATTTTGTTGTATGATTTATACATGGAAAATGCCTGCTTTGGTATGCGATTGCTGATTAGCTGCTTTTTCTGGCCGTTTACTATGGTAATTTATAATTTTTTGACCAACATTGTGCATTTGTGGAAGCTAGTCTAACCGTTAGTCTTCCAGTTTTCTATGACATTTTCTAATTTTTTGGAGAGAACATATTTTGTGTGAGTTAGTCTTATTACAATGTTGGTGGTTTAGAAACATTATGAAATGACAACAATGAAATAATTAATTCTATTTTTTACTTTTTTTTTGTTGGGAAAAATCTTAAACGAGCTAAAAGGCTTTAAGCTCAACCAATTGCAATTTTTACCTTCAATATATATTCAGGTGGAAGAAGAAGAGGTGAAATCATTTCCAAAACCAAGGATAGTGCTCAAGTTCATATGGATGGACAAGAACATCGGGCTTGGGCTGGACCAGTTAATACCGGGCTACGGCACAGTTCCCATGAGCCCGTACTTCTTCTGGCCCAGAAAAGATGCATGGGAGGAGCTTAAGACTGCACTGGAGAGCAAGCCATGGATATCCCAGAAGAAGATGATCATACTTCTTAATCAGGCCACTGATATTATCAACCTCTGGCAACAAAGTGGGGGCAATTTGTCATAAATCATTTGTAACCTAGTAAAAAAACATGCGACATTTTCTTGTTTTGGCTTTGTTGTAATGTTGGATTTGGGCTCTTGATTTGGATTAAAAATGTCATACACTTTCAAACACTGAGTCATGTCTTTGAGTTTTGAGATTATATTGGATTTTTTTTTTTTTTTCCCNTCCCTGTAAATGGATGGGACATCTAGAGTAGTTTGTGTCTGTCTGTGCTTGTCCAAGTCTTAAATCTTCAATGAAAGTGTTCGGTGAGTATTTAGTGAGCTTATAAGCTTCTTATATTCAAATAAGTTTAGTTTGGTAAAATTAGCTTTCGAGCTTATATTATAAGTTTGTTAATTTATGTAGTTTTCTATAACCCATTGAAAATTTTATTTCAACTGACTTATCAGCTAATTTTAACGAACATTTTTTTCAAATAAACAATTCTATCAGTCATCAGTCATAATGCATCATTTATAAGTTAGAAATTAACTTATGATCTATAAGTTAAATTTTCAGCAGAATTAGCAAAAACACCCTAAATTTCACTCTGAAAGTTCAAGCCTGCAGAATACAAAACCATCACAAATCTCAGCATGAATTTACAAGAAACATGAAACATAAATGTAAACATAGAAATAAATAACAAGAAAATCCCCAAAAATCATCTGACCACATAACTTGGAATCATAATGCAGCCTACTCAGCACACAAAACACAATCACAAACAAATGTATGCTTGTGACTCGTAATCAATGTGTCCTCTTTGTCCTCACCGAAAACGGCACCCTATCGATGCTCGAAGGCTCCGTGCTTTCTCTCGTCTCGATCGAAAACTTAGCATTCCCTCGTTCGCCAACTCCATCATCACTTTCTTTATAAAAAACGACATTGTCCCGTTTCTTAACCTCTCCATCTCCCTTCACATTCCCATCAAACGAAAGCCCGTCGATGCTCGAAAGCTCCGTTTTTTCTCTCTTCTCAATCGAAAACTTTGCATTATTCCCTCGTTCGCCAACTCCATCATCACTTTCTTCATCAAAAACGACCTCATCCCGTTGCTTAATAACCTCTCCATCTCCCTTCTTTACGTTCCCATCAAACGAATAATCGGAGCCCGAATCACAATCCAATCCTTTAGCTTCACTAGCAACGACAATCTTGTTACGAATTTCATCGAATTCCGTTTTCTCCTCAATCATCTCCTCCTCGTCGCCCGATGAATAGTACTTCCTCCTAGCCGATCTCGTGGGTGTGTGGGGCCTGCTTGGATCCGACGAACCCGAACGCGACAGCTCAACCGCGGCTCGGGCGGCGGCCGCCGCGTACGCTGCCGACTCGAAGGCGGCTTGTGCTGCATCGGCCACGTCTCGGTATTTCCTCCTCCGAGAAAGTAATTCTAAGTCGTCTTCAGGTTTTGATGGCTCTTCGGTATTGTCTTTCGGCGGTGGGCCCGGATGGCTCGACTCGTGTATCTCCTTATGTTCCTAGGATTCATAAGCCACAATTTAGCAATCAAGAATGTCAGAACCATGCGAATTTCACGTGTACAAACATGACATCATCATTGTACGGACAACAATGTGTAGTTACGTTTAATGGTAAGATCTAGATTTCGTGATTTACGGTGCGATTGATCAGTTTTAACCGGTTATAATCAGTTGGTTGGGTTATTTCATATCCAATCACCTAACTCGAAAGTCGAAATCCAACTCAACGTAACTGTTCTGTTTTTTTATAAATATAATTAAATAATATCAATCAATCATTCTCAGACATCCCATCAACTTTAATCCATTATTTATCTACCCACATAATTTTAACTACCTATCATTTGTTTCTCCTACTTTTACATTATATCCACTTTAATCATTGTATTTTAAATATTATTTAATTTTAAATTCAAAATCATCCATTCAATCTGCTTTATTCAAAATAACTCACTTTAACTCTCCATGAATCATGGTCGGTTGGATTCATACCCATTCACCCGTTGGTGCTTGAAGTTTGGCCGAATCACAAATATATATACCATAAAAGATCGATATCTACAAATGCCGTGCGAGACATTTTCAAGAATCTCGTATAAACACGAAATATGAACATACAATACAAGTTAACACGCGATGCAACAAAGAAACAACTTCAAAAAAATAAAAATAATTGCTGATAATTTTTTGCGTACCATCTTGATTTCAACTGAAGCCTCCTCAATCTGTAGTTCAATGTTGTTTTCTGAAGCAATCTCTTTGAGAATCTTCATTTTGCTCTCCAAGCTCAGAATCCTAGTTGACAGCTTTTGTATGATCTGAACAAAAAAAGTTAGTACAACAAAATGAAAGACAAAAAATAACTTGCCCAAATTCAAAACACAGAAGTTATATATAGATTGGTAAAAATATCTTTCTAATTAAAGATACACAAAACATTTACCTTAGGATTCACCCCACAGTTATTGCGTAACTCGGCCGCTCTATCCACAAACTCCCTCCCGAAACGTGAGGCGAAAATCGAGCGAATCTGTTGAAGTTCTGGAAAATCCCCACATCTTGTGGCCACATAGATTAGTGTTGACACAACTTCTTTCAACTCTTCAGGGCACACTCTGCATAACAAAAATGTATTTAGAAGAAAAATATACAAGTTTTCTTTTATGGAAAGAAATTTATTTTTTTTAAAAAAAAGGAAAAAAAAAAGCTAACTTTTCTTGTTCAAAAATGTGGATCCTCTCCAATAAGAGATGGCAATAATCCTCCACCAAATCAAACACATCCAACATGTTCTGCTCCTTGATCACCTGATCAACCTGTTATACCATGAACACAAAAAACAGAGGAGATATATTATATTTAGAAATAAAATTAATCATTTAATTAACAGTTAAATCCTATTCTACACCAAATATTCAAATTTGCTCCTTTAAGAAATACTTTCAATTTGAAAAATGAAACAAAATTAACCGGATGGATGACTTATCGCAATCAAATCCAATAAAATGATAAACGAGCAGAACTTGAGCTCAAAAATAGAGATTTTTATGTAATTTTCCTATAGCTCGGCTAGTCGAGGCATAAACTAGCCGAGCTCAAGCTGGTTTAGTTTAAGAAATACTTTCAATTTGAAAAAATGAAACTAAATTAACTGGATAACTTATGGCAATCAAATCGAGTCAATAAAACAGTTATTTGATAAATGAGCTGAGCTTGAACACAAAAATAGGGACTTTTGTGTAATTTTCTAACTGGTTTAGTTAACGAGCTCAGCTCAGCTTGACTTGATAAAGGCTCGAGCTTGAGTAGTCTCAGCTCGAAATTGGCTGGGCTCGTTTACAAGCAATGAATTTAATATAGAAATAAAAAAAAATAAAAAAAAATACCCTAAGAAGGGCTCTTTCATGGGTATTGTTCTTGAGAAGCTCGATGACGTCAGATCGGGCAATCGAGCGGCGGGCTTGGCGGTGGTTTCGGAGGACGGCCAGCCGTGAAAGGGCCATAGCCACCGTGGATTTGAATTTTGAGGTCCTAAAGCCTCTTCTAAGAAAAGCATCAAGTTTTTTCCCCATGCT